GGGGGGGGGTCAAAGGCTGCAAACTTCACACAGGGAAAAGGATCTTGGGGTGAGCATCATACCGAGCACATCCCCTGAGGCGCACATCACCCAAATAACTGCTGTAGCATATGGATCCCTGGCAAACCTAAGAATAGCATTTCGATACCTGAGTAAGGAGTCATTCATGACACTGTACACCGCGTACGTCAGGCCCATACTGGAGTATGCAACACCTGTATGGAACCCACACTTGGTCAAACATGTTAAGAAATTAGAAAAAGTGCAAAGGTTTGCAACAAGGCTAGTCCTGGAGCTAAGGGATACGTTTTATAAGGAGAGGTTAAGGAAAATCAACCTGACGACACAGGAGGGATAGAGGGGGACATGATAACGATGTATAAAATACCGAGAGGAATTGACAAGGTGGAGAGTGACAATGTTCCAGACATGGGACACAAGAACAAGGAGACACAATTGGAAGTCGAAAACTCAGTGACTCACAGGGATGTTAGGAAGTATATCTTCAGCACTAGAGTTGTCAGGAAGTGGAAAAGCCTGGAGAGTGATGTAGTGGAGGCAAGATCCATACATACCATAGTATGGGCGAGTTCAATCCCCGCCCGTACCGTAGTTTGCAATCGTATCATTACGATTTGAGTCAAGATCTATACATAGCTTTAAGAAAAGGTACGATAAAGCACTTGGAGGAGGGAGAGTGGAGCTAGTAGCGACCGGCGAAGAGGCTGGGCCAGGAGCTGTGAATCGACCCTTGCAACCGCATATAGGTGAGCGCGGGCAGACACACACACACACACACACACACACACACACACACACACACACACACACACACACACACATACACACACACACACACACACACACACACACACACACACACATACACACACACACACACACACACACACACACACACACACACACACATACACACACACACACACACACACACACACACACACATACACACAACACACACACATACACACACATACACACACACACACACACACACCACACACACACACACACACACACACACATACACACACATACACACACACACACACACACACCACACACTACACACACACACACACACTACACACACACACACACACACACACACACACACACACATACACACACACACATACACACACACACACACACACACACACACACATACACACACACACACACACACACACACACACACACACACACACACACACACACACACACAGTGATCTCCACATAGTTCTTCTCATTTTCCTTTACACAGTGGCGTGGGTTACTCAGCCTGCTCTACAAAGTGGCAGTGGCGTGTGGGCGTGGTAGTGGCGTGTGGGTGTGGTAGTGGCGTGTGGGCGTGGTAGTGGCGTGTGGGTGTGGTAGTGGCGTGTGGGTGTGGTAGTGGCGTGTGGGCGTGGTAGTGGCGTGTGGGTGTGGTAGTGGCGTGTGGGTGTGGTAGTGGCGTGTGGGCGTGGTAGTGGCGTGTGGGTGTGGTAGTGGCGTGTGGGTGTGGTAGTGGCGTGTGGGCGTGGTAGTGGCGTGTGGGTGTGGTAGTGGCGTGTGGGCGTGGTAGTGGCGTGTGGGCGTGGTAGTGGCGTGTGGGTGTGGTAGTGGCGGGTGGGTGTGGTAGTGGCGTGTGGGTGTGGTAGTGGCGTGTGGGTGTGGTAGTGGCGTGTGGGTGTGGTAGTGGCGTGTGGGCGTGGTAGTGGCGTGTGGGTGTGGTAGTGGCGGGTGGGTGTGGTAGTGGCGTGTGGGCGTGGTAGTGGCGTGTGGGTGTGGTAGTGGCGTGTGGGCGTGGTAGTGGCGTGGTAGTGGCGGGTGGGCGTGGTAGTGGCGTGTGGGCGTGGTAGTGGCGTGTGGGCGTGGTAGTGGCGTGTGGGTGTGGTAGTGGCGTGTGGGCGTGGTAGTGGCGTGTGGGCGTGGTAGTGGCGTGTGGGCATGGTAGTGGCGGGTGGGTGTGGTAGTGGCGGGTGGGCGTGGTAGTGGCGTGTGGGCGTGGTAGTGGCGTGTGGGCGTGGTAGTGGCGTGTGGGCGTGGTAGTGGCGTGTGGGCGTGGTAGTGGCGTGTGGGCGTGGTAGTGGCGTGTGGGCATGGTAGTGGCGGGTGGGTGTGGTAGTGGCGGGTGGGCGTGGTAGTGGCGGGTGGGCGTGGTAGTGGCGTGTGGGCGTGGTAGTGGCGTGTGGGCGTGGTAGTGGCGTGTGGGCGTGGTAGTGGCGGGTGGGCGTGGTAGTGGCGTGTGGGCGTGGTAGTGGCGTGTGGGCGTGGTAGTGGCGTGTGGGTGTGGTAGTGGCGTGTGGGCGTGGGTAGTGGCGTGTGGGCGTGGTAGTGGCGTGTGGGCATGGTAGTGGCGGGTAGGTGTGGTAGTGGCGGGTGGGCGTGGTAGTGGCGGGTGGGCGTGGTAGTGGCGTGTGGGCGTGGTAGTGGCGTGTGGGCGTGGTAGTGGCGTGTGGGCGTGGTAGTGGCGTGTGGGCGTGGTAGTGGCGTGTGGGCATGGTAGTGGCGGGTGGGTGTGTAGTGGCGGGTGGGCGTGGTAGTGGCGTGTGGGCGTGGTAGTGGCGTGTGGGCGTGGTAGTGGCGTGTGGGCGTGGTAGTGGCGTGTGGGCGTGGTAGTGGCGTGTGAACGTGGTAGTGGCGTGTGGGCGTGGTAGTGGCGTGTGTGCGTGGTAGTGGCGTGTGGGCGTGGTAGTGGCGTGTGGGCGTGGTAGTGGCGTGTGGGCGTGGTAGAGGCGTGTGGGCGTGGTAGTGGCGTGTGGGCGTGGTAGTGGCGTGTGGGTGTGGTAGTGGCGTGTGGGCGTGGTAGTGGCGGGTGGGCGTGGTAGTGGCGTGTGGGCGTGGTAGTGGCGTGTGGGTGTGGTAGTGGCGTGTGGGTGTGGTAGTGGCGTATGGGTGTGGTAGTGGCGTGTGGGCGAGGTATGTGCGTGTGGGCGTGGTAGTGGCGTGTGGGCGTGGTAGTGGCGTGTGTGGCGTGGTAGTGGCGTGTGGGCGTGGTAGTGGCGGGTGGGCGTGGTAGTGGCGGGTGGGCGTGGTAGTGGCGTGTGGGCGTGGTAGTGGCGTGTGGGTGTGGTAGTGGCGTGTGGGCGTGGTAGTGGCGTGTGGGCGTGGTAGTGGCGTGTGGGTGTGGTAGTGGCGTGTGGGCGTGGTAGTGGCGTGTGGGCGTGGTAGTGGCGTGTGGGCGTGGTAGTGGCGTGTGGGCGTGGTAGTGGCGTGTGGGCGTGGTAGTGGCGGGTGGGCGTGGCAGTGAAGGCTTGAGCCGAGGATACATGTTGGCAGACAACACACACATTCGTGCATATTTCAACGCTTCCCGCTACACCACCGCCACCGTCGCCCTGCCAGACGTATTGCTTACCTCACCTCCGCTGCAACATTCATCTCTTGCAGCTTTATGTAACTAAAATCCTCACCTAGAACAGACGATACAAAATATTACAATCAACGATCAACAATCCGGGAGACTGGGAGCGCTCAATGATCAACGTTGGAAAATCAACGAAGGTTAACGAATATACGTTGAAAATTCCTTTAGGATTAAGCCAGGTGGGTTAATAACCCAGCTTAACCCAAGCCAAGAATTGTGGTTTAGTTACCCTTGTGGTTTTTAGGTCGTCTGAGTCGCTTGATACTAGCAGGTGTCTACTAGTAGAACATGTTAGGTACCTGCTAGGTGAGTAGTAGGTACATGTCAGGTATATGCAAGTAGCACATGTTAGGTACCTGCTAGGTGAGTAGTAGGTACATGTCAGGTGTATGCAAGTAGCACATGTTAGGTATCTGCTAGGTGAGTAGTAGGTACATGTCAGGTGTATATTAGTAGCACATGTTAGGTATCTGCTAGGTGAGTAGCAGGTACATGTCAGGTGTATGCTAGTAGCACATGTTAGGTATCTGCTGAGTAGCAGGTACATGTCAGGTGCATGCTAGTAGCACATGTTAGGTATCTGCTAGGTGAGTAGTAGGTACATGTCAGGTGTATATTAGTAGCACATGTTAGGTATCTGCTAGGTGAGTAGCAGGTACATGTCAGGTGTATGCTAGTAGAACATGTTAGGTATCTGCTGAGTAGCAGGTACATGTCAGGTGTATGCTAGTAGCACATGTTAGGTATCTGCTGAGTAGCAGGTACATGTCAGGTGTATGCTAGTAGCACATGTTAGGTATCTGCTGAGTAGCAGGTACATGTCAGGTGTATGCTAGTAGCACATGTTAGGTATCTGCTGAGTAGCAGGTACATGTCAGGTGTATGCTAGTAGCACATGTTAGGTATCTGCTGAGTAGCAGGTACATGTCAGGTGTATGCTAGTAGCACATGTTAGGTATCTGCTGAGTAGCAGGTACATGTCAGGTGTATGCTAGTAGCACATGTTAGGTATCTGCTGAGTAGCAGGTACATGTCAGGTGTATGCTAGTAGCACATGTTAGGTATCTGCTGAGTAGCAGGTACATGTCAGGTGTATGCTAGTAGCACATGTTAGGTATCTGCTAGGTGAGCAGCAGAAGCATATGTTACAACTCTTGGCTGTAAATCACGCTCAGCCCAGGATTGACCCTGGGTCCTTCTAGTTGTGAGATGGACGCCCATGACAACATCAGTTTCCCCAGTGCTAAGTTACGGTGCCAAGCCTCTGGATACTACCACTGAATGTAGAGTGAGAGTGGCACCGGTGGCAGCGTCATGAGCCAGCGAGTGGCACACAGTAGTGGACCCGTCTGGTCCACTTTGCCAAAGAAGATGAGCATTAGTAAGTCTGCACGTGGTCCATATGGATCGATGGACCGCGCGTCCAGACGCATGCGCACACACCCCTACTCCCTCAGGCACCCCTGCCAGACGTGAGGGTAAACAAGGTTGCCCAACACTTTTCTGTAAATTTTCACTTAAAGTTAAGGTCCTAGATGCCCTTGTTACTATTATCAATAATGTAAATTATTTACCTTCAGACAAGTTTAAGTGTAAGCAGGTGTATAATGAAACATGAGTGAGGTGTGATGACACCCGAATGATGCAATAAGCTCTGGAACCCATTGATCAATAACACACAGTGTACTCCATAAGGGATCCAGGGTCATGGTGCCTCCTCGTTTAAGCGACTCAATCCCTGTCTAGTTCCTCTTTCGTTTCGTCCAATACTCTCTAGACTATACTACCGAGATATTTCGCGTCGTGTGTTGATAAGAGTGTTGACAGTAGAAAAACGAACAGCTACTTTTGGTTGCTAAAACTTGGGTGTGACTTGACAATTGCAGAGATGGCTGGCCTTCCCTCCCAGGTGTTAAGGGTACAGCTGCTGTGTCTGGTGCTGTGGCAGGCTATGCGAGTGTCCAGGGCAGAGTTCACTCACGACCGTAAGAGGCTGGGACCGCTGGAATCCGTACGTGCTGAACACGGGTGTCTGGAAAAATTTGATGTGAGCGACAGCACAATTATAAGGACTCAGGATTCGCGAGTGCTGGGTGCCAAGTTCTTGAACGAGTCCGATGTGGGCAACAGAGAGGATTGTCTGACCCTCTGCTGCACCACACACCTCTGTAACGTGGCTGTCTTCGAGGAGAAGGTAAGACTGTTGACTCAGTTATGCATGTAGCTTCAGCACATATCCCTGTCAACCACACACACACTAAACCTTCCCCTCACCTACAGTGGTCCAAGATACAACTATCTCAGCACTAGTGTGGTCCAAGATACAACTATCTCAGCACTAGTGTGGTCCAGGATACAACTATCTCAGCACTTGTGTGGTCCAGGAAACAACTATCTCAGCACTTGTGTGGTCCAAGATACAACTATCTCAGCACTTGTGTGGTTCAGGATACAACTATCTCAGCACTTGTGTGGTCCAAGATACAACTATCTCAGCACTTGTGTGGTTCAGGATACAACTATCTCAGCACTTGTGTGGTCCAAGATACAACTATCTCAGCGCTTGTGTGGTCCAAGATACAACTATCTCAGCACTTGTGTGGTCCAGGATACAACTATCTCAGCACTTGTGTGGTCCAAGATACAACTATCTCAGCACTTGTATAGTTTCAATGTCCTGGTCGCAACACTAGGTGTGCCATTTAATCTTCCCAGACGAGCACATCAACAAAATGATCAGTTCTTCATGTAATACTCAGTATGAGCGTAAAACTAGTTATGTCTTGAGGCATAACTACTACCTGATGACTGGTGGGCCAGCCATGACATACACTTCTCACAGAAAGGATGGTATTCGACCCCACGGCAAGCCAGTGTTCTAACCACTATGCCACAGCGGTCTAATAAGATTCGTCTATCTAGGTATATCTGTGTACTGTTCATAACTCATTTCTCACAACTCTAGCACCAGTCATTATGCATATTCTTGAGTTTTAGTTTGTTTCACACTAGGTAAGGGTTTCACACGGGCGCTGCATACACGAGGACGAGTCACATGTACGAGAAGTGTATACTGAACAAATCTTTGTTTCACTTTCCTAGAGCCGCTTTAATGTTTGTAAACTTAGCCTATGTTGGTGATTTGTGTACAGTTTATTCACGGGTCTCTGTTTTCGTGAGCTCACTTACTGCCTCCTTCCCAGACGGTATTCTACCTTCGACCTCCTTTCAGCGTCTCCCAGCTTTATAACTGTTTTCCCTAAGGTTAAAACTCCGCTAATTATTTATTCGACCATCCCTTAAATATACCCAGGTCTTCTTGCAACCTTCTCTCACCTTGAAACATATGTAATAGTGTTGTCAGAGCGTAAATATACCCTATGAACATTATGGGACCAACAGTTATCCCAGTGGAGTCCCACAACTTACACTCTCCCATCCTGATGTTTTATCTCGTATAACTGTTTTCTGCTGTCAAATATTTACCTTATCCGTGATGACAAACAATTGTCTTCACTCTCACCTAGACTTGCTTCTCCGGTTTAGTCTTACTTAGCACAGTATTAAAATCTCTCTAACAATCTATTCATAAATTGTCCACCCATCTCTTCCTGGCAGTGATATGTTAGCCTATCACTGTTAGCCTACTCTTCAAAATTAATATATAATTATCCTCTATTACCGCCTTACTATTCGGTTCACTAACTAGCTACACAGACTGAAGAAGTACTTTCTTATGTAGCTCATGTACATTTTGAGTTGCCATGCCAAGCAGCCTGGCCCTGGCCACTCTTTTAACTACCCTACTTTGTATTTTGTACTTCCTAATCGTATCTTCTCGGGTCCTCCCCTCATCCAGTCGTAGTCTAACCCTTTTATTTCCTGTAACCGTCTCGTTGTTAACATGTATTTTCAAGTTTGTTTTACGTACTTCATTCAATGTGGGTTCTAAGCTGCTGGTGTCTATTCAGAGACTGATCTAACATAATTGTACTGAGAGCCATGAAGGTGTCCCTCGACTCACCAGCCTACAACATCAACTACTTGTGTTCTACGACCACTCTTCCAGTTTTCCTTTATTTCATTATTTCCCTGATTTTCTAGAATCTAATGGCAGTGAAAATTTTTGTTAGCAGACATTATACGACTACTAGTCTATATCACTATTACTAAATATTGGCTCTATGAGGTTATTACCACCATCAAACTTTCGTAAAACCATTATCCAACTACCGTCAAAATACCATTTAACTACCGTTAAATTACACACAAGTTATGGTCAAACCAACCTCAAACAAGATGTACAGTTTATTACACAAACACCAGGGCAGTTGTATGGACAGAACACGTTCATATTTTGTAGAATAGCCCTATCGCGTACTGAAACGAGTCAGTAAACGAGGTATGAGGAACAATGGTACGGCTTCCCTCTCACCTGAGCTGCCTCTCTTGTCTGTCAGGCCAGTGTGGCCAGCCTCAGGCTGGCCACACTGGCACTCTGGCACTGTGCAGTCTTCATAGACCTAAGGCTGGCTTAGTAGTACAATATTCATATATTTCAGACTGGCCTAAAATTAGATTTTACCGCCGAAATGGCTAGTTTATCGTGCACTCCAAATCCAACTAGGGGAGGATACCACAAGAACAAATGGATAAACAAAAGACCTTGAAACTAGACCTCAAGAGGGTTAACAGGTGTACATCTGGGTATTTATTTGATTTACATCTTATCTGTTACAAATGAATTTACGATATTTGCTCAAAAAGTCTGGTATCTTATTTTCAACAGTCAGATGCCTTCATATATTACATAGCAGTAACTATATATTCCCCAATGTAAGTGGCCACTGAAGCACACAGTGCTCAAGAAAGTGACTTAAGGCTAACCACATACTTTGCATTTAGTTTGTTCATAATATGTGTATGATAAAATACCTGAAGTATCTTTAAATGGGTCAAAGTCTGGCTTCCAACATCAGTGTTTTAGCATCACAAGTTTTTTATTTTTTTATTTTCATTTTATTTTATTTTTTATTTAGTAATTTTAGCATACATACAGAGGTACAAAAAATACAGGTAAGAGCAGCATGCCAAAGCCACTTATATGCATAGCATTACGGGCTGGCTTAAAATTAACTTAAGATTAACTAAGCAATGATGAAATCAGTGATAAAACATTATTGTAAACAGATAACTATAAAGCACAAGTATTACAAAGACAGGTCATATGGTTGCATGCACTGTTGTACATTCAGTCGTATGAAGTATTCTGTTAGGTAGTGTATTTAAAAAATAATAAAGTTAGATTGGGTTTTAGGTTTAACATTTGTGTGATATAATTGTGAGTAACATATAGGATATACAATTTATAAGGTTCAGTTATTCAGTATTTATTTGGTTTTGAGTGAGTAAGTGATCTTTGAGAAGAGACTTGAATTTATAAACAGGTAGTGTTTCTTTTATATTTACAGGTAATGAATTCCAGATTTTAGGGCCTTTTATGTGCATTGAGTTTTTGCATAGCGTGAGATGGACACGAGAACATCAAAGAGTGATCTGTGCCTTGTGTTATGGTCATGTGTTTCTGTTGAGGTTGGCAAGGAGATGTTTGAGGGGAGGGTTAATATCAGAGTTAAGTGTTCTATGTATGTAATAGGTGCAATAATTAGTATGGATGTTTTGTATGGTGAGTAGGTTGAGTGTTTTGAATATTGGTGGAGTGTGCTGCCTGTAGTGAGAATTTGTTATCATTCTAACTGCAGCCTTTTGTTGGGTAATTAGTGGTCTGAGATGGTTAATTGTTGTTGAGCCCCATGCACAAATTCCATAGGTGAGATAGGGGTAAATAAGAGAGTGATATAGGGCCAGGAGGGCTGACTGTGGAACATAGTACCGTATCTTCGATAGTATGCCTACAGTCTTGGAAATTTTCTTAGAAATTTGTTGTATATGTGTATGAAATTTGAGTCTATTATCAAGGTGGATTCCTAAGAATTTTCCCTGTTAGTTTTGTGATAGGTGATCCGTTTATCATTATGTTAAGAGGTACATCTGTAGCTCTGTTACCAAACTGAATGAAGTAGGTTTTGTCAATGTTTAGTGTAAGTTTGTTAGTCCTCATCCAGGTAGATATTTTCTAATTCGGTGTTTACAGTATTGGCTAGCGTGACTGGGCTCGGGTGAGAGAAGACGTATGTAGTGTCATCTGCAAAAAGTGTGGGTTTGAGTAATTGCGAAGCATTTGGTAGGTCATTTATGTATAGGAGAAAGAGAAGAGGGCCAAGGACACTTCCCTGTGGGACACCAACTGTAATTGGTTGAGCGGAAGAGCTTGCCCCATTTGCATACACATATTGGCTTCTGTTGCTGAGGTAAGACTTGAGGTAGTTGAGGGAGTGCCCTCTAATACCATAGTGTGACAATTTTACGTGGAGCAAGTCATGGTCAACTGTATCAAAAGCTTTACGTAAGTCAATGAAGATCCCCAGTGGGACTTCTTTTTTCTCTATTGCAGTGTATATATGTTCTAGCATGTGTATAATAGCATCATTAGTATTTTATTAGGCCTGAATCCAAATTGGCAGGGGTTGAGAAATGTTTTGGGAGATGAGGTAGGAGTAGATTCGTTTATGAATTAATTTTTCGAAGATTTTTGAGAGAGGGTGTAAATTGGATATTGGCCTATAGTTATTCAACTCTGTTTGGTCTCCTCCTTTATGGATCAGGGTGACCCTTGCTATTTTGAGAGCTGTAGGGAAGGTGGAGGATTCAATGGATTTGTTAAAGAGTGTTGCAATGATTGGTGATAGTACTTGTGACACTTTTTTGTATATAAAGGGTGGTAAGGTATTTAAATCTCCTGCCTTGTTTTTTAGTGTGTTGATAATAAGGGAGACTTCGTATTGGTTAGTCGGAGCTAGGAACAGTGTGTTCGGGTAGTTGCCAGTGAGGTAGTCATTTGGTGGGGTATCTGAGCTTGGGATTTTATTGGCAAGGTTTTGTCCTATAGTGGAGAAGAAATCATTGAGTCTGTTTGCTGTTTCTGTTGGTGGGAGTTGGGGTTCATCTGATTTTGCTAATTTTATTTCGCTATTTCGTGATATCTTTTTTGTTCCCAGAATTTCTGATAGGGTCTTCCAAGTCTTTTTTATATCACCTCGTAAGTTGGATAATCTGTTCTCATAATACAGTTTT